ACACACACACACACCGGGGTCGTCACAATATGTGTTTTTGCATATTATGCAAAAACGCATAAAAAGGGTGAAGATGAAGGATGGAAAGAGTTTCCCGAAATGACGGCATCTATATTAAACTGATCAGATCCGAGGAGTACGAACTTTTTTAAGTTCTCGTCGTTCGGTTCGGTCGGCACTTGACCGAAAGGAAGACAATCAACGGTTGGGATGTGTCAAAAACGGTTTTGCTGTGATAATGAAAGTTTGAAGAATTACCACCCAGTCTGCTTACTCTCCCATATGTACAAGCTCTTCATGTGGATCACCACTAATCGAATAACAAAAGTCCTCAATGAATAGCAGCCGAGGGAACAAGCGGGATTTCGAAATAATTACAGCGTGTTGGATCAAATTTTTACTTTAAACCAGCTCCTGATATGTGCAAGAAAGTATCATTTCTCTCTCTCTCTCCCATTCACCGGCGAAAAAATAACGGAAGCGTAGAGCACAGTGCTATGCTACAAGCATTTGGGAGGATTGATGGGAATTGCGAGGAAGTTGTTAAGGAAGCGAACGTAGACTGCGTGACAGATGTTACACTTTTCCTCCGGTTTGCGTACTTATCAAAAGGAGAATGAGGGAAGGCGATCCCATTATCGACCAGGCTTTTCACGTCCTACTGCAGAATGCTGTTTTGGAGATTGGATTGAAACAGGCAGCTAATTCACCTACGATTCGCGAATGGCATTGTTCTTAATGCCAGCAACTCGCGCAAAGAAGGCGACATACTGCGGGAGCTCGAGGCACGGAGTAAGAAATTAGGCTTGAAAATGGACGCATCAAAACCAAAGGCGATGTCTCGGTACACTCGCGACAAGATTGCAAACAGACGGTGTGGACTTGAAAAAAGTTGACATTTACGTCTGTTTTGGACAAGAGGTAAATATGTGACACAGTCTCCAGCCGGAGATGCATGTGGGACGGTTGCCGGATGGCACAAATGTCACAGCATTGCCGATGTCCTCAAAGTGTTGAACCGAAAGGACCGTGCCCCCACCTCTTTAATATCGCTGTGTTGAGGGCAATGAAATACGAATGCAAGACGTGTTCACTCACGGAAGTTGAAGAGTGGAAGTAATGATGGAGAGAGCGAAGGATGGTTGGCGTAACTATTCGCGACCATAGCAGTCAGATTCTCCACCAGATAGGCGATATGTTGAATATCGTTGTAGCCACGCAAGAAAGTAAAACGGAGTTAGCAGGACATGTTATTCGCCTTTACCGACAAGGGTGGACAACGCTCATTAGTTAGTCCACGTTTATTTTCGAATTTTCGAAAATCTTTCGACAAACCCATAAAAATGGGAATTGGCAGAGTCATGGAGCAAGGCGACATTTAATGAGATTATGTATCAAAAATGAATTAGTTCAATTGCCTGTATGAGCAAACGACACTGTGCTCAGTGCAGCCTTGCAGAATGGATATAATGAGCTTGTGTCTGTAAAACTGGCGAGACAAAACCAAATGGATTTATGAATAGCTGTACCTGCGTGGGACACAATACAGTTGACGGTCTGGGTTTGAGCTTAAAAAAAAAGGAGCACGATGAATAGCTTTTACCAAGTTATGAGAAACCTTTTTCAACTCTGGCATTACATCAGCTGAAGAAACGGCACTTTTCAATTTTGCTGTGGTATCATTTCTGCTGTGTGAAAGTGGGACATGAAATATCGGGCTTGCTACGGAAATAAAGGTAAAATAACCTGACGAGTCTGAGAACGTTTCATGGGAGATGTTGAAGTACTATGATTCTCTGATGTTAACGATTTTACCAAAGCATTGTTGTTGAGAGGAGGAGATGTAATTCAGTCATTTTGCAAGAACAAATGGCAGTAGATGGATAAATTGGTTCCATGAATGGTGTTTTTGCAGTGTTAAAAGTCGTATCATTAACGAGAAAATGATTGAAGTAACATTTATCAGTTCTTAGTTAAGACGAAGCCAAGGGCTTCTGCACTCTCTGCAGTTTAGTGAAAACTGTTTCACAATTTTCTGGAATATCTATCAATGAACTGTATCGTTCTGGCCTGTTCGGGGAAAATGAAAGAAAGCTGTGATATGAAAGCCTAGGTTTTTTGCACGCTTACAGCCGGCTGATTCGACTTTCGCTCATTTAGCAACTACTGCGACAGCAAAAAAGTTTGCACCTTTTCATCATCGCTCCGTAATTACAGACTACAGCCTTGGCATGGTTTGTTTTTGAAATTTGAGAAAAAAATTCAAGTGCGTTGAAGTGCGGTTTTTGCCAGGTACCGTCGAGTAAAAGAAAAACAACCGCTGGTTGAAACAATGACTGTGCTGATGCCAATGCTGCTGGAGCGCCTCGTTACACTAATGCCAGATGCATCTCAGGAATCCTGTTTATTGCAAAAACTTATTTTAAAAATATTCTTCGGTCTTGTTCAGGTAGTTATCTCTGCATCATTTTACTTTGTGATACTTTGATGAGCTTTTATTTCAGCGTTACACGCTTCCAGACTGCCTTGCTAACCTGCAGCCTTTTTGTGCTTTTGTGACACAAAGCCACACTACCTGATAGCGCTAGCTTTGCTTACTTCATTCTTTTCCGGAAAGAAATTCAATGCGCATTACATTTCGTAAGGCCGGTGTGGGTTGTTTCATCTTGCTTATTAAACTTCTCCTACATTCCAGAACAGCGGTCACCTTCAGGGTGGTATGCCAACGGTTAGTCGTATAAAATTTTTCAGAAGCGCGAGGCTCTAAATGCAGAAATATACAGAACCGAAGTGGGTGACCATTAACTTTTTTAAATAATTTATAAGTATTGGAAAATGTTGCATTGCTGCTGACAGGTTGTAGCGACAAGAGGTAAGAGGAATAGAA